TATTTTGGCCTTGGAAAGGATTCAGAAAAGGGCAACTAAAAGGATGAGGGGTTTGGAACGGGTCCGTATGAGGAGAGGTTGAAAGGACTGGGACTTTTCAGTTTAGAAAAGAGGAGACTGAGGGGGGATATGGTAGAGGTCTATAAAATCATGAGTGGTGTGGAGAGGGCTGATAAAGAAAAGTTATTTATTAGTTCCCTAAATAGAAGAACTAGAAGACACCAAATGAAATTAATGGGGAACAGGTTTAAAACTAATAAAAGAAAGTTCTTCTTCACACAGCGTGTAGTCAACCTGTGGAACTCCTTGCCAGAGGAGGCTGTGAAGGCTAGGACTATAACAGAGTTTAAAGAGAAGCTAGATAATTTCATGGAGGTTAGGTCCATAAAAGGCTATTAGCCAGGGGATAGAAATGGTGTCCCTGGCCTCTGTTTGTCAGAGGCTGGAGAGGGATGGCAGGAGACAAATTGCTTGATCATTGTCTTCGGTCCACTCTCTGTGGGGCACCTGGTGCTGGACACTGTTGGCAGACAGGATACTGGGCTAGATGGACCTTTGGTCTGACCCAGTACGGCCATTCTTATGTTCTTATGTTCTCTTTTGCTCTCCCAAGCTGGTGGTCGTACCAGTAGAGTCCAGCAGCACTGCTGACCCCTACCAGTAGGGCATCCAATGGGAGAGGCAGGGACAAAAGAGACAGCCATGTTAATATCAGCTATGAATGGCCAATACCGGTGGCTGCTTCTTGCTGGTATGCTGTACCAGCCCACTTTCACCTGTAGGTGGTAAAACTACTGCAGTGGTTCTTAACTTTTTTATACTGCGGACCAGCAAACTCATACAGAAACTGTTGGTGGACCGGCACTGAAATATTTGTATATTCATTATGGTGATTAATTTATTTACCTATTTTCATATTAATTATGGCATTTTTAGCCCATGATATATCAGGCAAATAAAAGGAGGAGGGACACAATGGTTAACAAGAATTTGAAAAACTGTTGCATGCACACATTTAAACAAAATACTTGCTGATACTTGTTAAAGAATATTCCTCGGGGCAACTGCCTGTGTCCCTTAAGAAAGGGATCGAAAATAAGACCCCGAATCTCTGACTGCCCCGTATAGATCTATGGGACCCCGCGGCTTGAGTCCTGTGTTCCCAGGTGGTCTCCTCACCTCAAAAAGGGTATTTTGACTTCATTTGCATAATTAATTAGGGGCTGTTTTTGCACAAGAGGCTTTTGTGCAAGGGCTGCTCTTCATTTTTTTCAGGAGGAACGGCTCTTGCGCAAGAGGGGGTTTTTGCACAAAAAGGAACCATCACAGCTCCTTTTTGCACAAAAGCCTCTTGTGCAAAATTGGCCCCTAATTAATTATGCAAATGAAGTGTGGCAATATACTAATCTGTGCTTCGTTTGCATAGGCTTTTGCACAAGAGAGGTGCAGTGTAGAATAGCCTAAGTGGGTGGGAAGGGAATTCCCTGCGGAACCCGAGCAGGCGGGGCTAAATAAAAGCTGGGAGGCATGGCCTGGCAATGTACCATGGCCAGGGAGAGAAGGGTTTGCAGACCGGCGGTTTGGAATCGCTGTACTACTGTGATTAGGGTTGGTTAAAGGAGAAAATTAAAAGAAACAGTCACAAGACTAAAGTGTTTGCAAGCCATGTGGAAACTTTTTAAAAACATTATTATAGAGGATCAAATTTTGTGTATACCTCAAATTAAAAAAAAAAGGAGGAGCTGAAAAAAATGCCACGATGGCCAAACAGCAGTAAAAGATGTGGTTTGAGACAAACAGCCATTCTTTAAAAATTGGAAATCAAATCCTACTGAGAAATCAAAAAAGGATTATTAACAGCATAATTAGGCAGGCTGGAAAATAATTTGAATATCAATTAGGAGAAGACACAAAACTAACAACATATATAATATATATTTGAGAGAGTCTGTCTGTCTGTTCAAGAACTCCTAAACAGAAAGAGCATGGGTGGTTGGTAATGTAGGTAAGGGAAGGCACAGCCTTCCCAAAATCGCCTACATGCCCTAGCCACCCAAGTAGGCTGGGGCTGTGGTGCAACAGCCCAGCTTCCCTGGCTGCTGGAGAATCCAGCTGGGATTGGGGCTGGAGCCACAGTAAGGTAGCCCTGTCCTCCTGGTGGCCAGGAAGGATTGGGCTGGGGTGGGTCTTGGGCTGCCCATGAGAAAGAGGTAGGGCCAGCAACTTTAGTATACAGCTTCCTCTAACATAAATTAAAGCAAGGTAAGGGTTTGGATGTACCTGGATAGGGATTGCTTCTCCTAAAACCAGAAAAGAGACAGAATCTCCAAGCAAGTGAAAGGAGCTGGCTGGAAGCGTGCCCTGTCCTCCCCAGCTGAGACTGCCCCAGCCCCGAGCCTTCTACCCGTCAGACACCTTTTAGGGAGGGTGGGGGTGTTGAATGATCCGGGTAGATGAACCTGGACCTTCCCCAGCTGGGAGACATGCACCCCTGCTCTGGCTGTGCCTGCTGTTGGTGGACCGGCACTGAAATATTTGTATATTCATTATGATGATTAATTTATTTACCTATTTTCATATTAATTATGGCATTTTTAGCCCATGGTATATCAGGCAAATAAAAGGAGGAGGAACACAATGGTTAACAAGAATTTGAAAAACTGTTGCATGCACACATTTAAACAATAAAATAGTTGCTGATACTTGTTAAAGCGTACTCTCCAGTCCAAACCTTTTGCCTCAATTGCACCAGAATTAAAGAGGCAGAGCTAACAGGTCTGACAGTGCTGACACATTCTGCAAATTCATATTTTCCTATGCACATAATAATGTGTGCACCTTCTCAATATGAGGGATTAATACAAAGTTTTTATTTCTATTGGTGGTTCACAGGATTTTCTAGAGCTGCACTTCTTCTTCATTTACCCCTATCACAGGGAATTTCACATCTTAATTCCTGTTTTCACTATTGCAAAGTTATGATAAAGCTGTTGGGCTTTGCAAGTACTTTCTTCCCTAGCATAAGCCGTCAGAGCTGGTACCAGGGCCACAGTGAGGCTGCCCCAGTGGGGACAGTCTCACCACAGTCCCGGCTCTAGCTGCAGCACACCCAGCTGCTCACCGCCCCGCTCACCCTGCTGTTGCATGAGTAAGGCTACGTCTACACTGTACCTCTTTTGTGCAAAAAGCATATGCAAATTATAAAAGGAGAGAGAGGGGAAGAGGAAGATGACTTCAAAGTAATGCGGGACTAGTTTCTAAATCATATTACCAAACAAGGAAAAACTCAAAATCATATTCCAGATCAACAAATGCTACAGATTTGCAGTAAAGATCCAATTAAAATGGAGGTTTTAATTTTATGACGATACAGAAATGTTTCATTTGATTATCATAGTAAACTACCCAGTGTCTTCTACAGTAAAACTAATGCACAAAGTCTCAGTATTATTCTATTCACCAGAAAAAGATCTCTGTTATGGGTGTTTTGCTTTACTTAATGTGAATGTTGGCAAGTTGGCTAATGAGCTCATCTCCTGTTTTTTATAGGAAGGGCTGTGATTGGCATTGAAAATGAGATGAGCCAGTCATGAAAGACACTAAGAACATAGTTTATTTACATCCATAATAAGCCATACATAAGTCCCATATATGACACTATAGGATGGACGAGATGGACTGGGAGTCCAATAACAACTCTTTTGACACAGGTGAGGAGCATTCAGATGACTCCAATCATTCCTCTAAGTGGGTAGGTCAGAAATCTAGTCTTCAGCTACAGATAAACATAGACTATTCTCAACCATTCAGTCCTTGTTATAGCCCTGCTGGTCCTTCAGGTAGGCAAGAACTCCCCGTGGAATTGCAATGTGAGGACGAGGAAACCTATGAGATCTACTATTAGAAGAGAGGCAAGACTACAGCTGGTATCTTTGTCACTTCTAACACCAACTTTGACCTGCAATGTGAAGATGAGGATCTGGAATTCTGCTCATCTGAGGAACCTGAGCAAGGGCTAAGTGAGGATGATAAAAAATATCATTGATGCCTTTGGTGAGGAGGACCTAAAGCCCATTTCTGGAGAAGCTTTGCTTTATAGGTGCAAGAAGTGTTGTGCCACTTTCCAGGATCTGGGTGAATAGCAAAAATACAAACAGATACACCTGACAGAGCATTCGTACCGATGCCCGAACTGTAGCAAAGAGTTCTTCCGTGCTGCGAACTTGCGAATTCACAAGCTGATTCATTCCAGTGACAGACCACACAAGTGTCCGGAGTGCAACAAGGGTTTCATCCACACAGCTGATGTCTGGAGGCACCTACACAATGTCCACAAGATTGAGCGTTCCTTGGTAGCTTTGGGAAATGGCATGGTTAGGAACCCATGGTCAACAGTGCACCAAAACAAGCATGGCCATGGGGACACTGACCAGGAGTGTTCAAAAAATCAAAACCCTGGGGAAGAAGAATCTAAACTTTACATCAGTCCAATGTATGGCAAAGGTTTATGTAAACCTAATTCTACTGTTGAAACACAAAGTGATCCATCAACAGGACAGACCATATCAATGTCAAGAATATGGTATGGCCTTTGTCCAGCTACTGAGGTTAAAAAGGCATCAACAGACTCATTCTGGAGAGCACCCCTTCTATTGTGAAGAGTGCAGAGGAACCTTCACACGGCTGACATCACTTCAGTGCCATCAGCGGATCTATACTGGAGAAAATCCCTACTCTTGTGTTTACTGCATTCATTCCTTCACAGAGTCAGGCACTCTAAGGAGGCACACACAGAAAGTGGACAAAGCTTAGTGCTTAGGGCTCTATGACTGTGTTGGCCATTCTTTGTTACTAAAACAAGAACTGTTCAGTTGTGCAGCTAGAGAAACTGCTTCATTCCCACCCCAAAACCCGGCCCACAGTTCTCATCCTGGAGAAGGACCAGTATAAATCTGTTATGGAGACATTGCCTTATAAGGAACTTCATGATCATTTTCTGTAGTCAGTGCTGAAGTAGTCAGCCTGGCACCTTCCCCTGGAATTATAAGAGGAAAAAGTTCCATTTCTATTCATTAATGAGATCAAAAAACACATGGAAGTGAAGCTCCTTGAAGGTACTGAGCATTGTCATAACTTGCTGGACTTTTCTGAGGGTATATTAAGCTGAGTTTTTCTCTAGGACCGATGGGTTAAATGGAGCCCTTCTGTAGCCCCGGACTCTGAACTAATTGTGATTGCTGTCCTGTATTGGCTTTGGAGATCCGTCCTTGTTGCCTTTGCAAGAACTGCATAGTCCATTTAGTCAGAGCTGACTCATCCATACCTTATCTCTCTGACTTCTGTCCTGTTTTTTATAATACATTCATTTGGAAGGGAAGTATCGTGTTGGCTATAAAAATCCAAGACACTAATAATTTGACAATTAATTAAACAGCTGCATCCAATACATGCTCACTTTTGTCCATGAATATGTCAGTGCCTTATGTGCTTGTATGTGACAAGGATTATGTATGTCTATTGGTGGGTGGCGAGAAACTTGTATGAGTGACTGTGAAGATGTATTTGGTAGAGTGGATTGTCGGTATTGATCTATGCTACTTGCGTCTAAATCAGGGATGGGAACCTATGGCCCAGGGGTTGGATCCGGCTTCCGGCTTGCCTTGATCTGGCCCGTGGCAAGGCTTAGGGTTCCTTTCCCTGCACTCACAGTGGGGCAAGCCAGTGCTGGTGCTCCAGTCCCCCAGCAAATTGCTGAGTCTTGCTGTTCCTCCACAAATGCTGGCTTCCTGTTGCAGGGGAAAGCACTAGCACTAAAGCCCCGGCATGGCCGGCTCTGCCTGGTGGAGGGGAGGAAGCAGCTCTATACACTACCATTCGGCCTCCTCCCAAGGACCCCTCGTCTAAGTGAAGGAGAGACCATTCCCAATTTCTGCAGTACAATAAGGAATGTTTGACAATTTAAAATCAGAAGGGTGGCAAAACAAAGTGAAAATCTTGCCTTGCTGCATATTATATTTTAATTTTTTAATTTAAATGTCCTTGTTTCAAGGGCCCTGTGTACACGAGGAAATTCATTATAACAAGTCATTATTTGGAATGCCAGGAACTCTCGTCTGTACCTATGCGTGCTGCACAACGTGCTCATTAGCATTTTAGCTTTTATTTTTAAAATATGTCCCAATAAAACCTAGTTCTCAGTGAAATCTGCTGGAGTCTGCAAATACCTGAAACAATAACTCTAAAGGAGGTCTGAGCTGTATCATTTTCTTAGAGGTGTGTTGACTTTGAAGCCTATTGAACATTAAATTTTTCATGATGGATCATTTTAGCAGGAACATCCAGTTTATATATCCATCTCACAGTCCCAAACTGCCTCCCATGCCAAAAGACCTTGCTATTCCCTACCAATTGTCAACATTACTGGCTCTCTTCAACATATTTTATAGTGCAGTTACGCATTTTCAATATGAAGTTCTGCCGCACATTGATAATGTCAAATTTTGGGGAATCAAGTTAAAAGGGAGAATGTGCTATTTGTAGTACTCATTTGCATATTCAGTTTAGTAAAATGCCGATTTTAAACTGACCTGAATTTCCATTCTGCTTCACTGGAGTTCTACAGACTTCAAGACACTTGCCACGGAACTTAGGTCAACCTTTTTACAAAGTTCATGGCTTGGGCTATTCCTATACAACACTTTGCATCTGCAAAACAGCCATCCCAACCGTTTTACAAGCCTCGGTCGCACTAGATTGTATAAGGTCCTGTGCTCAGATCAATTTTACCTGCTTCAATCTACAGTGATTTATCTTGACTGTGGATGGAATGTCAGTCATTTGTTTCTCAAAGTCATTTTAATTTCATCCCACAGTGTAGTTACTGGCATTAGAAAACTGGCTAGTACCACAGGTCCTAGGAACATTGCTGGGCATTGTGGAATATAGACTCTGAGAGTCCCAAAATCACTAGTAAAACCATGACTGTAAGGCTGGAGGAGAAAAAAAGCAGTTAGCCTGAAAAAATAAAGCAGAGACCAGAGTAAATTGACATATTTCAGTTTTGATAAGTCCCATTGAGAAAGCACAAATACACATACAGCCACGATTTCTTCCCCATTTCAGGCCTCAGATGTTGAATTTAACCCTTCTCATATTGCTTCAAGTAGTATACCAGAATTGGAAATACGTTTATAGGTTTTGGACAAGTCCTCCATAGAGCCCTGTATTAATTAAGGAAGCTACCGTTTCCTTCCATGGCTTTTAGTCATTGATCTACTGACTGTTTTGGACCAAGAGCCAGAAGGACTGGTCAATTTGGACAAAACAAAAATAACATCTGTGGTGGTCAACAGTTTCATTTTCAAGGAAGTCATGTTGCCAATTAATTATATTTGCCCTCTCTCTTCCCATTTTAGCTATGTATTGTTGTAACTGGCCATGTAAACAGCTTGGAGTGACTTAGTGTGCCACATGTCGTTCAGGGTTTGCAGATAATTTCAGAACCTTCTCTACTCAGCCCGATAAACATCAGACACTCTGTGGATCAGATGACTATAACCACATGTTCTGAATTCCTCTACGTCAGATTATGCAGCTCAAGCTGGAGAGTTCCTGTGCCCCTGATTCTTTGAACTGCATTTTCTTTGAATGTCTCTGAACATACTCTTCCCAAGAGTCATCGTATTCTTGTTTAACTGGCACTTTCACATGCCCAAGCATCTCGCTTCTGAGTCAACCCACCAGACTGGTTTCTTTTTAGTAACCCATTTATTATATTTATTAAAGGTTTCATTTCACTAACCTTTTAATTTTCCCATGAAATAATCATGTTGTTTTGAGCACTTTCAACAATATTACGTTCTCATCAACACAATATCCATTTTACCAAGTGCCATACCACATACATCTATATCCTAATCCTTGTAAACAAGAACTGTAGTCTACAGCTATTTTAATAGCACTAAAACCATGTCATTTAGTTTATAGTCTAAATGCTTGACAAAGTCAGAATAAATATCTATTTGCCTGTTATTTTGATTGCAACTGTTCCTTTGTGTGTCACCATGGCACTTCAAATCCCAAAGCGAGAATACTAAATTGTCCTGTATGGGAGTCCATTCCTGTTCAAGTTGTTGGCAGAATTCCCTTTCATCTTGAGGGAAGCAGGAAAAGGTTCTTAATCTTAAGAGTCACTTCATAAATTGGACCATTTTTGGTGGAAGAGTCTGTCCTGTTCAAGAGCTTTGTTGGTTAAGGGGGAAAAGGAGCAAAGCTTTATCAAAAGGGTCAGTGCATTTTGTAGAGGACTTTTTAAAAATTCAGCCCAGCTGGAGAGAACTTGAGCTAATTTTATTTGCCTCTGAAATGTTAGCTGTTTTTTATACTCCTTAAAAAATTATTGGTATTGGTAGCATTGCAGAGATCTTTAAGCTTGTATTTCACATAGTTTCTCTGTCTCTCCTGTTGGTTAATACTGGCACACTGGGAGAGAGGTTATTTCAGAATGTTACCATGAACAAGTATAATTAGATAGCTGTGTAATTTGTTCTGGAGAGTTTTGTTTTATAGGTGTTGTGAATTATATATGATGCATCTTATTTTGTTGGAAAGGGAAATCAGTGTGAGAATACAACATACGTTTTTCTTAACCATCAACCCCAAACTTCATAATGAAATTGAGCAGGTTTCCTGTAGAATATCACTTGATGATGATTGGCATTTATATGATACTCATTTTCAGAGTTTAACAATCCTAAGCTGTACTTTATTTCATATTGACATCTTTTTCTTAATTTTTAAAAATAAAATGAACTCACCTATAATTGGGAGTCTGTCTACAGACTATGTGCAAAAATCATTGCTCTACCAGCCTGAAACGAGACGGGCCTTTCCAAAATACAGTCGTAGCTAGGCTTGGACATACACAATGAGACTATTACAGCTAGTATTGTTCAGTGCATCCCACGTAGCAATATTCTCCATGGCACGATGTGTCAGCTATATTAGTGCTTACCATGCTACAAACATTGATTGGACTTGTGCATTTTGGGAAAATCTGGACGCTTATATCATATTGCCTCAGCTGATGATGCCAAGTCCATAGGATTAAGGGTGTTTTTCATATGTATTTTATAAGATGCTTTGCAGAGACCTGGAAAGTGGGAGGACTGGATAAAACCTGGCTATAGCGAGGGAATTAATTGGACCCATCTGCACGATTGAATCACAATGTTAAAACCCAGTTACAACCTAACAGTTGTGTTGCATCCCCCCAAATCCACAGTTCAATAACATCCAACAACCCTCCCGAGTTCATACCAGGCTCCTTTCCAGCAAGTACTTCCCTCTGCCTCCGCTCCTCCATCACCCCAACTCTCCGAAACCTTTGCATTGCTTCTGAGCGGTGCGGAAGATATGTTTCTGTATTGTAGTTTAAATGAATTATTGCTCGGCGTTCTATATTAATATGCCTTGTAAGGAATCTACTTGTTAAAAAACAAAATCCTGAGTCTTTTGTCTGTATTGTTACGTAGTCACTGATGAATATTTAAAAATAAATTACCAAAATAACTGAAACTGGCATGATCATATTGTGTTATTTTGACAAAATATGCAATATTTTAAAATATTGTGTGCAGATTTTTAAAATCAGAATACCTCCAAAATTAACTAATGTGTACCACAGGACACGAGAGAGCCAGATCTTGGTTCTTTGAAGCCACTCATGTATCTCTGTGACCGGTGACAGAATATTTATTTCCAGTCTATCTGCTTGAGACATAACAGTTTTAATAGCTCAGACATTGGGCAGTTCACGGGACCACAAAACAATATCCCCAACATTATTTCCCTTTCTGCCCACATGGTGTCATATAGCAGCCAGCTTGCAGTCATCAGAAATGGCAACCTTTGCAAGTGGAAAAAATAAAACTAGACTCCCCCGCCCCATCCAGTTCTTGGCAAACATAATCCCATTACAATCCAAGCACATTTATTATTATTATCTCTATTATTTACAGATATTTACATGCCTCAAATGTCACAGTGTGATCAAGTAGTTGTTTCTATGTGGCGTCTTGGAGTTTCAGCACGAATGGCAGAGTTAGGGAGCCAGGAACCAAGTGGCACATGAAACATCCTGTCAAGGACAGAAGTCAGCCGCTCTCCTCTATGGCCGCAGTAACAGGAAACCTAGGGCTGGCCCACTGGAGAGAGAAGGCCAGAGACCCTGTCCCTCCTCATAAATGGAAGCAAAGGAGTCGTCCTTTCCTGGTGAGACATGAATAGAAGGGAAGGTGAGGCCTGTCCTAGTCATTCCCTCTCAGAAAGGGGAATTTTTCCCTTCCTTGCGCCATTGACTGGTGACCTTTTTGTAATTATTCGGGACCTTTCACCAGGAGCTGTGCTTCTCAGGCAACATTTTAAATGCCTTATCAGTCTGGGCCTGAAAAGGTGGCACAACTTTGCTGTTTGGCTCCCAATGGAATCTTAGCCAGATTGTCTGATGGGGGAGACGGGCCTGTCTCACCAGTGGGGGTGAATGGAGACTGTTTGGTGCACTCCTTTCCTAGCCCCTCAGACGGATATTGCAGCCCAGCCCGAAGGAGCTGGAGCCTTGTGTGCAGGAGAGGACTGAAAAGGTTAGGAAGACATGGGGAATCATGCATCTCCAATACAGTTTTGTCCCTGGCTGCTGATGGGAAGGAAGTAGCACTTGGATGATTGAGGACCTCCTATTACCTTGGAAGATATCAGTGGCACAGAAAGGCTGCCGACATTACTTAGCTCCCCTGGATCCATAATATGGTCAGGCACAGCAGGGAAAAGAAATGAAGGAAAAACACTTCTCCAAACCAGTCTGGCTAGCGCAACATTTATGCAACAATCTGAAATGTATGAGGGGGAAGGGAGGAGAGGTGGCCTACAGCTGATTAGAGCTGCAAAAAGCAAGGGGAAGGCCACGCGTGAGGTCTAGAGGCAACACCCTAGAGAAAAGTCCAGCCTCACGAAGCACCCAGTTACTGGGAAGGTTGTTGTGTATGGACCCCATTGAGGGCTCCATCTATTGTATCAGCCTCTGATGAGTAGGTACCTAATAAATCTGCCCCTCTCATTAGCACTGGAAGGGAATGATGAGCTGTCTGTCTCACTTCACTCCTTCAGAGCCACTAAGCTGTTGCAAGGTGGGATAAATTCTCTCCAAGGCAGCTGCCAGGAAGATGAGAGGAAGAAGTCTCCCACAGCCTCTGCTTTTTGGGCTCTCCTCCCTGGTGAGTAGTGATAGAAATGTAGCCGTGTTAGTCTGGTCTTGCTGAAACAGACAACAGGACTATGTAGCACTTTAAAGACTAACAAGATGGTTTATTAGGTGATGAGCTATTGTTGTCCAGACCCACTTCCTCAGATCAGATCAGATCAGATCAGATTTTTGATCTGAGGAAGTGGGTCTGGCCCATGAAAGCTCATCACCTAATAAACCACCTTGTTAGTCTTTAAAGTGCTACATAGTCCTGTATTTTTCCCCCCTGGTGAGGAATTCCAGTGTCACCTCTCTTAGGCTAGTTCCAGCTTGCTCAGGCACTGTGAAATGGATGAGAGGCCTAACATCTTCCCTGCTGCCTACCAGCTTCTGAAAAGCCGCAGTGGAAGGCCGGTGTGGTGCTAGCCAGGAAAGTTCTGAGCAGCAATGGAGCTGTTTGCAGCTGGCTGCCTGCAGACTCAGAAAGACGGGTTCACACTCAGAAAGCTAGCTTCACCAACAGAGAGAGAGAGACTAGAATAACACTGACTTCATTATGTCTGCGGAATTAGGGAACCGACTGATGCCAATTGGTAATAAATACAAGGAATTCAACTGCCTCTCACTCAGGAAACGGATTCTGCTTAATTGGCACACCCATTGCAGTAAAGTCTTGAGGACAGTTATAAAACAGCTATCTGGAGCGATGGAGCATTGGGCAGGGGAGGGGGGAGAGGAGTGCACCTGCTCCCTATGGTAGAAGCACCCATCATCTTCAGTGGTGCAGGAGCCAACCCCAGATGAGCCAGGGACCGATCAGTTTTTGCCTGTGCCACTCAAGTGTCTGCACTTATTGGAAAATCACTGTGTGCAGTGTCAGGGGTATGTCAATAATTCAGCCAGACAGGGCCAGAACAGCCCCATTTAAAAAGTGTTTTCATCCTTTTTCTACCATCAGGCCAGTACGACGGAGATGACACTGGTGCTTTCATTTGTAAGTAGCCCACAGTACATATGCCTACCCTGTACTCTGTGTCTGGAATGGTGTGTTTGGTTTGTTTTTAATGGTGGTATCTGAGAGGGGACTCGGGAAAGCTGTTGTCGACAGACTGTCCACTGGGGATCCTCATTAAGGAGATCATCCTATCTTAAAGTGCTGCTCTGCTCTGATCTTCTCTGACAAGGGGAATCTCTAAAGATGACCTGGGTGAATACCATATTTACATTCTATAGTGAGTTGCGCACCACTTACAGGTAGTAAGATGTATTTTGTAGCTGACAGATCTGCACACGCAACTTGTACACTGAGAGTCAAGATGGATTTTTTCTTCCTTCTCCTGAGTCTAACAGAGACTCTACAGGCTAAATCATGCCCTAAGCGAGTCCTACTTTACTCTGTTTCCTACCATGGCATTTCACAGCTGTAACTGCATGGACTTGATGTCTTGTCTTGCAGATTTGCATCACTTCAACCAAAGGTGTGTTTTTTAATCTAATTTGTGAGACTAGTGTAAGTTCTACATGGAGACCAACCCCTGGTTAGCCATTCCAATAAGGACACACAAGCAGGAACCTGTGAACTCCAGCTCGCAGGTTCCTTAGCTGGGCTGGCTCTACAGGGCAAACTGGAGTACAAAGCAGTGTTGTGTCATGCAGGTCTGCACACATGCAGTGGGAGCAGATCTGCCTTTTTCTTTTCAGAGCAGAACTG